CGCGACCAGCCGCAGCAGCGGCCGCCGGGTATGTGAAGGCGGCATGGGGGATGGCAGGGGTTAGCTCCGTGGTGTAGAGTGGGTAGGGAGCCCACGCTTCTGGGGACGCTGGAATAAGAGCTGCTCCAGTCAGGTCATCTAGACAAAACAGGACAAGGTGACAGTCCATTATTCTCCTGCAACTCTAACGTGCTGGCCCTCCTGCACCAGACAGATTTCAGCCAGAGCACACGTGGGTATGGTTTCCTTCCCATCCTGGCAACACTCCCAGTGTTGGGCATCTCCCAGGCTGGACCAGCCACGACCTCAAACTGCCTCCCGGCATACTCACAGGGGTCCCGTGCAATGAAGTGTGCGCCCAAGGCAGGGTGGATATTGGTGGGGTTTGGCGTTGCCATCAGCTTGCTCTTGGCCATCTTTGTGTTGGCTTTAGCAAACTCTAACCGCAAGGTCTGGGGGTTCTCTGGGTCAAAGCGGATGCCCTGTCACAGAAGAAAGCACGGGAATCTCTCAGAGGTGAGGTTTCTAGTCTAAGCACAGGCTGCATCTATTCATGGAGCAAAGCCCAAACAGGGAACCAAGGCCACCATGCTGCAGCCACATGCCCAGTTTTTTGTCACCTCACTGCAACACTCAAGCTCCCACATGCTTGTATTTCTATGTTTAGCTGGCCTAGGACCACTGCTTCCAACACGAGGGACACAGTTTTGCTCCTTATGTGCAGTTCACCAACCATCACAACAGTGATGGCTACCAGTGCTGGTCAGGAAAGATCTGTCTGCTGGAGCTCCTATCTGTGGTGCTGCTACATCTACTGCCAGGCTGGGCAGAGACACTAGCACATGGCCCAGTGCCCAAGGCAAGGTCCACAGCAGAGCGGAACCAGATCCGCATATCCTGCTGTCTAGATCCCACTAACTTCTGCAGGGCCACATGGCACGGAGAACATTTTGGGTGTGCCTGCCATGTTGACCATCCTGAAGTCTTTTTCTTGAGCTGCAGAAGTTTGGAAATGTTGTCAATGTGCTAAAGATCCTGTACCAGACAGTTCTGGCCCTGCCTTATGCCCTGCCATGGAAACAGGAGCATGGGAAGGCTGATTTCCTTCCTTTCTGAAGCAAGTACCTTCTGGCTGCAGAGGCCCTGGCAGGCCAGAGTCTGAGACAAGGACCCGCTCTGCTGAACTGCCACATGCTTTTCATCAGGGTATTTGGTAAGCAAAGCTTTAACAAGGCCACTAGCACCAAGCAAGTCCTACAGCCACATGACAGACCAGCTTTGCAATGAGCCTGTTTCACTACCCACATACCCTGGTGAACTTGACCTAGAGCCTCAAAAAGCTGACACTAAACACAAGTTTAGCTCCACATGCTTTGTTAAAACATTACAGGGTGTCAACTGGGTATCACTCTATGCCTGTATAAGCCTGACAACCATCTATGCCCTCAACTCCTCTCTTCTCATCTGCTTGCTAAGACCTGCCTTCTTCAGGTACTACAAGCCAAGGTCAAGTCAAGCAGTCAGGCTAGCACGAGCCCCCACCTTGGCACTCAGTGCAGACAGCAGGAGGAAGAACTCCTTGAGGAGTAGCTCTGGCCACCCCTCAACACACAGGTAACGAACAAGGGGTCCTCTTAGTCCACAACTCTTCCCTGTACAGGGGGAACACTTAATGGATAAGGAAAAGGATTCATAGCCTGGGTTCTGTTATCAGAGGCCAACTGCTGAGTAGGGAGGTGCATGCCAACTCCAGAAAAGAAGTAGCTGTTCTTTCCCCACACCCTCACAGGCCCTGGAGCAGTCTTCCAGGGTCAGAAACCGCACCTGACCATGGTCAGAAACTACACCTTTTTGCATCCATTTGCTCAGGCTGATGTCAGCCTTAAACAGCTCTCCTGCTTCCCTGGTGAGATGCTGCAGGACCATTTAGCTTCCATACTCAAGGTCACAGCTGAGACACCCTGACCCTTCCCATGCTATGGACAAGCCAAGCACCACTCTAGCCCACAACCCCAGGTCTAGCTATGGCAGGTTGCATGGCTCCCAGCCCTCCCTGGGGCCTCCCGGCACATCAGGTACTCACATTCAAGGCGTTCTTTGCTGCTTCAGCACCAGCCCGGCTGTCAAAGGTCACAAAACCAACTGGCTAAAAGAAATAATGCAAATTTCAGTTTGGAAGCCTCTTCCAGCTCCTCAGACTACCCTGCAACCCCCTCTGCCCCAGACAGCTTACAGCAAGAAGAGGCCATCCAAAGTTGCATATGGCCTTCAAGAAGAGCTTGAAGGGTCTTGGGTGATGATCCCAAGATTCCTGCTTGGTGTCTGCTCCCACCACACCAAAATGCTTTGGTATTCCTACACGTGGGGGCACTGCTCACCCTGGTAGCCACCAAGCAAGCACTCCTCCTTGCCCATGAGCAGAACCACTGCCTTGTTTAGGTTGGGATTGGGGAAGGTTTCTGGCAGCACAGGGTTTGAGGCTGAAGCATCAGGTCTCACCCAGTGCCCATGGCCCTGGGCATCAACAGAAGATATGGAGCCATTCAACACATGCTGAGAGCTTCGTGCCACCAGGATGGTGGATGTGAGCAGAACCCAGCTGTATACACGGTGCTGAATACAGACAATGCTTCACACAGTGAAATGGTGTCTGTCCCCCCTCTCCTCCAGGGATGTTTAGTTTTCTAGAAAAAGTCAAAAATACCTAAGTGCTGGAAAAAAGAAGTACCTGCTTTGAAGTTAGCTTGATCAGTGACCCTTCATAACCCTGCAGCAGGGAAGAAAGCAAGTCAGTATCAGGTTCCTGAAGGAGCCAAGCTACAACCGAGACATGACGTGACAGCTCCAGGAGTTCCTGTAGCACTAAACCCTTCATAAGGCAGGGTTTGCAGCAGGAGGAGGTGCATAACACTTCTCTTCTTTCCCACCAAAAGAGAAGACAGATTAGACTAAGGGTGTAAGGGGTATCTTAGCTATTCCATTCTGGCCCTTTGGGAAGAAATCCCATTTTCTAGCTCTTCACCAAGCTACTAAGATGAGCACCCTGTCTGGCTAGTGCCTAGAGAGCACAGAGCACCCTGCGCTAGAAGAGCACAAACAAGGGAACCCCACTTCCCCCAAGGACAGCCTGTGTGGTGATCTAGTGAAGGATGGACAGTTAGGGGATCAGGACACATCCTCAACGAAGGGCTGGTCCAGTCGGGCAGAAGGGCTAACTGAGCAGCCTTCATTGAGCTTGGAGACAGCATGATTTCAACAACAGGTTCCAGAGGAGGTTACCCGGCTGAGTGCAAGCTATGGGATACCATTCTTGTTTCATACCTGGTTCCCCAAGCTTTCAAAGAAGGCCTACCTTCCCGCTTCATCCTTGCTTCCCCTCTGACAGAGATCTTTGCTGCAAAGTTGGCCACAAGACAGCATCTTTCCCACCAAAGAACAAGTTTGAAGACCTTCTTACCTTGAACGGTCGGAAGAGTAGGTAGAGCTCTCTGGGCTTGATATCCACAGGAAGGCCACTGACAAACAGTGTCCGTACCTAGGAGAGAGGTCAACAAGGTCTACTGAAAGGAGATGCTTAGGACCAAAGCAGGAGCACAGAGCACAGTTCAGAAGCTGGGTGCAACAAGAGTAGGACACCCTGCACCAAAGGTGGCTTTGCAGGCACTACATTAGAGGAGCATTGTCCAGGATAAAAATACACTCAGTCCTTTCCTCCCTACCACAAAGGATTTAGACCTTCCAAAAAATTCAGTCTCTAGGAGAACAGGCCGATTAGGGCATGGACACCAGCCCCACAGTCTGACTGGACCTTAATGACCAAAACTTGAAAAGACTGCTAGAAGACCATACACTCCCAAAAGCACTAACACAGAGTTTGACACATATCAAAGGTACAGAAGAGTCCAGTACAAACCCCAGTTGTCTCTCTAGTGCTTTCTACAGATCACACACTAGATCGCCTTTCCTTAGCCCACCCTGGCACTTCACTTTAGCCACTGATTCAAAGACAGCCCTCAATTTTGAAAAACACCTCACTGCAAAAGCCCCAGAACATCATTGGGAGGATGATTTTTGGGTCCATCCCAGCTCCTTCACCAACACACATCAGACCCTTCAGGAGTTGCTCCCAAACCAGCTTGTGCAGTGTTTGTTCTGTCGTGCCCAGCCAAAAGCCAGCTGTGCTGCACCAAGTCCATGTAGGCTGCTGCTCTTTCCAAGCTGTAGAAGTCATGTACCAAGTCCAAATGCACTCAGCATGTATAAACAAAAATACAGTACAGAAGATTTCAATAGATAGTCTGTTGAAATTATCTATACTAGTTCACATGAATAGCCAGGAAGAAGAAACATTGCTAAAGGCTCACGGCCTGGGAGAACTCTGCTCAACAGTCAGACCATCATGGCCACCTTCTCCCTGCGCTGGGAAACATTGGCTGGCAGCCTATTTCCATAGGAAACAGCATGATGAAGCTGCCAAGACTTCTTGTAAATCAGCACAGAGCTGTAAAGGGAAGTTATGCACAGAGGTCACCAAGACACTAGTCATCATTAACAAGGACCAGGAGACCACAAGCACAGCTCGGCCAGCACCGACAGAGAAGTGAGGGAAGACAAGACTATGGGAATGAGATGGAGCTCTGCGTTCCTCATCATTCACTGCATGGGGATGCCACCCACCCAGTCAGTCCCAAACACGAAGGTCCTGGGACAGCACTGATGCCCAGGCACTCAGAAAGGCACCAAACAGTGCCAGACATTTTGGGGCTGCCAGACATGCAGCAGGACCAGAAGCCCTAAGACAGAGCCCAATTCCTGGCCTGTTTCCAGTCCAGAGTAACCCCATTACATCTGCAGGGCAGGAGTGCTCTGCTCCCTCATTTAGTTTCTGCTTGGCCATTTGCCTTTCCCCAGAGGAAGGGGGTTGTATCTGACTCCTCGTGAAACCTCTTTTGCCACTAAAGTGAGCAGCACACGCTTGCCCAGCTCCTGCACTGGAGGCAGCAGCCACCTGAAAACACAGGAGCATGCAGCAGAGCCTCTGCACCGTGCAGCTCTTTGGGGGCACCCGGATTCGGACTCATCCAAACAGGGAGGTTTCTCTTACTTACAGGAGAAAACAAACACCTCCTTGAGCTCCCGTGCCCAGGACAGTTCTGCCAGGGCAGAGATATACCCTTCACATCAACTCAGCGGGCAGCTTAAGCCCTCCAGGAGGGACAGTGATCATGAAAGTCTTAGGGTCCTCTGCCTCTTGATGAGGCTAAAGGTTGCTACCCCCCACTGAACAATCCAGTGGGCTGCTACCACCCCCCATTAGTGGGCAAAGCCTTCTCCAGTCTGGCATCTCAAGACTGCTCCAGGATGCAGCCACTGAGCATCCCTCCCTCCAGTACCAGCATCCTTCCGGTCCCCTCCTCGGTCCCTCAGTGTGGACAGCCCTGTGACACACGCCCCAGCTTCTGCTTTGCCCTGTCCAGGGAAGCGGAATGCTACCTGGAGCACTCCAGAAACACTTTCCATGCTTAGGCTCACTCCCTACAGTCTCCCTGCTCAGCCAGCCCCTCATTTGATGCAGCACTCCAGGGCCACCTCATGCCCAGACAGAGTGGGGGACGGCACTGTCTCTCGGCCTGCTGGCTGCCTCAAAGACTTTGGCGCTTGCACTCCAGCGTGAGCTACGTGGAGCGCCTGCAGCACATTCCCAGAAGACGCACAGCCATCTTTTGCAGGGGAGGACTGCATGCAGTGTGGTAGCACACATGTGCCTCAGCCATGTGAGAGCACCATCCCTTTTCAATATTTCAGGATCTGAGCGTGCTCAGACCCCAGAATGGATGATTCTTCCGAGCAGATAGAAATCTGCATCCCTGTTGGGTCTCTAAATGGTCCCGTGATGCGTTGCTTGGTAAGTCCTTGCGACAGGCGTGACAGTATGGAAGACACATGGCTGCTTGGGGAAGGGGAAAGTCAGCTACTTGGAGTCCTTACAGCAGCCTGAACAGAGGAATGCAGGTGCCTAGCAAAGCTTTGTCAGACGTAGCAAGCTCCTAATGCCAGCCCCATAAGTTTCTGCTAAGGATAGGACCTTCTCTCACAGGCCAAAAGCTTCCCTTGGCCTCCAGGTCTAGTCTAGCACCATACATGGCATTGGAGAGGGGATCCCAGGCAACCTACACCACCCACCAAGGGCTGGCATCACCCCAAAGAAAGCCTGGGCAATCCCAAATGCCACCAACTAAGGTCTTCAAATGAGGTTTCCCCCAAGGGTCTCAATACAGACTAAGGAAGGTCCCTGCTCAGAAGAGCTTGTTAGGAGAAACAATGAGACCAAGCATTTGGTTTTCTGAGATCTCTGCAGTTCAGCACATCCATAAGTGATCTAGAAGAGGGTAAGGGGAAAGTGAGACCAAGTGATTCCGGGGAGGGTGAGGCTGGTGAGACCCCCAAGCAATACATTTGAGGGACAGGGCGAGGCAAGCCAGAAGGGAGATTGCTTCCGAGACCAGGCTTAAACATAGGAGCAATCAGAAGGCAAAGGAGATCTGGGTTGTCTCCCAGGAGAAAAGCAGGAAGCAACTTGCCAGTCCAAGCATCTCGTGCACTGTGGGCAGCCCTGGTCTAGCCTCCTCCCCCTTCTCCCCCAAAAAACGAAGAAACTACAGACCAGGGCAACAGTAGAATCCGGACAAGCATCCTCCAGTGGAACTGGGGCTCCCCAGTCCACCCCCTTGCAGCCTGAGTCCTGCAGGCTTTGAGACCCCACTAGGGTCACCCAGGGCTGACGAACCCAGGCTTCTAGCCCTTGCACTCAACGTGCCAAGGCAGGTGGGCTTCTGCTTAAATAGATTTTCCCCACTCCAGCTCTCTGCTGCCAAACACCGGATCCATGTAGATATTCAGCCTCCCCACAGAGCAGCTGGAAAAGCCACAGGACAAAAAGAAATCCATCTGGATCTAGATCAGGAACTGCCTGGGCCAAACTGCATGTTCATCAGGAGCTTGAAGAATATACAGCAGAAGCAGGTCTCCAGGAATACCTTGTTCTTATGCTTACCCTTAGACTTTGCTACCAGCCACTGAAGATGAGGTTCCAGGTGAGAGCAACCCCATCGCGCCCCGGACAACGGGACACACACACACCAAGCAGAATGGTGGGGCAGGGAGCAGCACTCGCCCAGGACAGCCCAGCGGGGTCAGACTGCTGGAGGCCCTGCAGAAAACACTTTCCATTTCCCATCCCTGCCCCCTCTGGGGATGTCCCCAGTCCAAACACCTGGCAGAGATGGAGGAGAGCCACGGAAAACAGGATTTGTGCCAGGAGGGACAAGACCATCCAGGCCATCTCTTGGAGAGGGAGGATCCCAGCATAGCTTCCCACGCAGGAGGAGGGAGGGACAAGGACAAACCCATTCAGTGCTGAAGTTCTTGGTGGCTCGAAAGCAATCCTTACACAGCTGTGTCTCCCAGAAGAGACACACAGCTAATGTGAGCACAGCCAGGTACTTGGCACCAAGGCTTTGAAGAAGCCAAGCAACACCTGCCTCTTCCCACCACAGCCAGGAGGTCAGCATGGCTCTTACAGCACCTCCTGGCCACGTCTGCTTGTAAGTAAGAACTCTCAAAAGGGAGCCTGAAGCAGAGCCAGACACTGCCGTGAAGCCTGGCAAGGGTCAAGTTACATCAGAAACATTAGATGTAAAAGCACAAGTACCCCTCTCCAGTCCCCCCAAAACTGGCCAGGTGTGGGACCACCGTCCCAGCACCTGAAGCATGCAAGCCTTTTCCACCAGTGGTTAGGAGACACCCAAGGACAGCTACAGCAGCAACGTGCTCTAATGCCTCATCCACACCGTGCCACAGGATGTCACACCCTCTGGGAAGCCACCCCCAGCTATAGACAGGCACATGCCATTTTTTCCCCGGAGACAAGCCATCTCAGACACACTGATAGGTCCACTGAGCCTTTTTCCTGCACCATCAGCAGAAGGGAGCCCGCATCACCCTGCCAAGGACGGGGACAAGCTCTGCCGCAGCACCCCAAAGGCAGTCCCTGCTCCGGGCAGCCACCCTGAGGTCTCAGCACCCCAGGTACATGGGCGAGCATCCCAGTGGGGTGGCTCTCTGGCACCCGGGGCCACCAGCGGAGACACAGGGAGGGTACAGAGCCCCAGCCCTGGCCACCACGATACAGCAAGGGCCACTTGACATGAGGCCGCTGGAATGCAGCGAGGCTGTCAGCTGCCCCGGGAGCCGGGACTTATAAGGCACAGCAGCGAAAGGCAGGGGGGCCAGCCTGCAAAACAGGGCTGCAGGGAGGGAAACGCTCCAGAGCCCAGTGGCAGGGCTTAAAAATGGGATGGTACCCTCACCTCACCACCCCAGATGGGACATGGGGCTGGAGGGTTCCTGCCACTGTGCTGGGTGGACCCAGTCCTGGGCAGTTTTGCTCCTCAGCACATCAAACCCCCAGAAAACACAGGAGAGGGGAAACAGGGGGGGAGAGATGGCTGGTCTGTGCTAGGGAGAGCTCGGCAGGAAAGCAGGGCAGCCTCAACGCCACAGAGTGTGCCTCCCAAGGGGAATGGGCTCGCTAGCAGGCTCCTTCACCGCTCCGTGCCTCCGTTCCCCCTCCATCAGCAGAGAAGCTGCAAGAGCTGGCTGTCTGCTCGCAACTCCAGCGCTGCCAGAGCTGCGATGTCCTCGGGCAGTTCACAGGGCCGGCAGGCAGGGCAGTGCTGAGCCCCATCACAGGACCAGCTCCAACCAGGAATCCCCGAGCAGCCACAGCCACAGGACATCTCCTCCACACCACAAAGATGTGCACCCATTCCCAGAGGGGAAGAGGGTCTTGGACCTCCCCCAGCACTCAAAGCAAGGAAAACTTCAGGCGTTTCCCTCCAAAATCAGCCTTTCACGCAAAAGGTGCCCAAGGACCAACACGCTGCTCGCCTGGAGAGCAGGAAGGCAGGCTGACCACAAGCAAGCCCAAACGCAGAAGCGTTTTGTCCCCAAGGCTGGGGCGTTTCACATGTGACGCTGCTTATAGCCTGGTCAGCCCCTCGCCGGCATCGCTCTTCCCCCACACGGCGCAGGGGGATGTCGGCGGGGCTCAGCCGCCCCTGCGGTCCGGGCAGGAAGGCGTGCGAGCGAGGGGGCAGCAGGGCGAGGCACCGGCCCCTGCCCAAGGGAGCAGGAAGCACATGGGCACCGATAAGTCCAGCCATATTGGAGCAGCACCCAAGAATAGCCCATGGCCTCGGCGCAGCAAGCGTTACTGGTGCGGCTCTGCAACAGAGACTCCCCCCAGCTCCCTGCTATCAAGTCCTGTCCCCTGCATCCCTGCAGGATGTTGTGGAAAGGATGGCACCCAGGGGCCTTGATCCACAGCAAGGGCTCAGAGCTGTTGAAACACTTGGGGAGGCCAGCCCTGCAACTCCCAAGATGTCGCTGTGCCAGAAGAGCCATTCCCTGGCTCAGGAAGACGCTGGCTGAACATCCTCAGGCTGCCATCACAGCCTTCCACCTTGCTAAGAGGTCTTCCAAGCTAGAGGAGATGTGCACAAGCATAATAGCCAACATGCTGAAGGATGCTCACACCGATGCTTGCACTACTCAGCAGACTGCACTGAGTCCCTGACTCCATGGTCCCAGCAGCACATCTGTCAGCCTGTGATGTCTGGGGACCTACAGACACCCTTCAGCATCAGCTGGAGCCGTGGACCTTAACCTCAGGGACAGCTCTCACACCAGGAAAACCTGCTGCAGACCAGCTCCTCCCACCTACACCCAAGCATTTGTTCTCACCGATGGCCATGCCACAGCCCCATGGAGCACGCCTGGTATCTCCACGGCCCAACAGCAAGTAAGTCTTCCACAAAACCCAAGTGAAAGTTTGCAGCAGCTCTCCACTGGTGACAGTGGTTATTGGATTGTCACCCCAATCACATGGAGACCTTTGGGGGGACACCAGTAGGATGCCCAGCACCCACAGGACTGAGCTACCATTGCATTAGTCCAGTTCTTCACAAGACAGGGCCACTAGGCCGTGGGCAGGGGCTGTGCTACCCAAAAATGGACCAGAAGTGCCAACACTAGCCATCAACCAGACCCCGAGCAGGCACCCAGCTTGTACAATATAGAGGGCAAGGAGAGTCTGGGACAGTGCAGAGCCCATAACACAAATGGATACAGCACACAGTCTAAGCTTTAACGCCCCCAACAGAAATAGGTCATGTCCCAGCCAGCTGCCCACTGGCATCCTACTGCAGGGAGGGAAACCCAGGAGGTGAAGCTTCCTTCCTCCAATACCTCCCAGAGGAGCTGGGTGCTCTCTCCAAGTCCATAGCTTGCTCTACACTTCGAGCCATTGCTATAGGTGACCCAGGGGAGCCACAGTTTCAGACAAACACTGGCCTCCCATCCTTGAAAGCGGATGGAGGGACATACATCCCCAGGCCAACAGCTTCTGACAGAGCCACATACAAAGACCTGACCCCGCATTATTGCAAGAACCCATCATCACATCCTTTGCAGTGCAGGAGGGAATGCACCATCCCAAACTAGAAGGTGCAACATTTCCATAGCCTCTTCTGGGAAATGCAACAGGGCTGTGGATCTCCCACATGGATAAGACTACAACTAACTCCTTGGGTGTCCAGCAACCACAGCCTGTGCCCAGGTAAGCCTGGGCTCAGTGATCAAGGAGGACAATGTGCAAGGCCACCATATGTAGCCCCATGCAACTGTCCTCTACAGAAACCCGCCCCAGCAGCCACTAGACACACCAGAGCAAGGCTGGAGGCAGGATCTTATATCTATGCTCTGCCACCTCACCCTAACACAGGACAACAATTGGCTGCTGGGCTTCAGACTATTCCTTCCCATAGGAAACACAGAGGTCAACATCTTGTCCCTGCCCACAGGACTAGGTGCAGGAGATGATGTTCACTAGACAGATAGGCAGAGCAAGGCTCAGCACCATCCCTGCTCCCATCTCCAAGCAAGAGCCAACGGGTGACCCCTGGGGCCAAACAAAGCCTCACCACCCCAGACACACCAAGAGCAGCCCAGATCTTGTGTAAGCCTCTAGCTCCATGCTCACCTGCCACCCAGCCACCATCTAAAGCATCACAACACCCCTCTCCGGTGCGGCTGAACTGAGGAGGACAGCAGGCCCTGGGACAGGTTGCCTCTCAACCATGCCGTGACCCTGTGGTGCAGTGCTCAAAGTGTCCTTGTCAAGTCTGCAGCATCCATTTCTGCCATGCCAAGGGCAGGGTCACCTGGCACGCATCTCCTCATGGTGCTAGTACTACTGCCCGCCCAAAGGTCCCTCCTCATCAGACATGCTGGGCTGGCTCACGATCACAGCTACACTGATGCACCTCAGTATGGCCCAGATTCAGCAGCTCCAGTGCCAGGGTTGCATCCCACTGCCCTGCTTCCCCACCAGGTCCAGCTCTGCAGCACTGGTCACGCAGGAGGAATTCTGTTTCAGCCATCCCACGTGGCATATGGGTCTTTTAAAGCACAAACAAATTCTTTTCACTTACAGCGTCTGCCATGTGAAACGTCCTCCTGTAATGGTGGCTGCTGCTGCAGAAGGTACTTTCCTGCTCCAGGGGTGGGCCTACGATGTACAGGCATCCCTGGGAACATGCTCTTGAGACTGCTCACCTCCAGATCCGAGAAGGCTACTGGATCCCAGCTAGTGCCTGGTACTCCTTGAGAGAAGGTGCTGAGCACTGTAGCTGAGGTGCTGACTACCTCACTTCCACACTCAGAGCTCCAAGACATGTAGAAGCGTTGCTCCAGGATCCAAGTAGTAGAGTCTTCATGACTTGGCATGGCCAAGATCAGCAAGCCCAAAGGATCTTTTGGCTCCAAAAACCTTCTGCACCAGTTCCAGCAAGTCATACTTGACTTCCCACAGTGACAGTTCCTCTAGCAGAGGCATGAGGAAGGACAGCAAAGCCTGGACCACTCATAGCTACCTTCCAGACATCTCCAAGGGCATCCTTCCTACTTCGGTGAGGGGAAAGGAGAATCCCTTGTTAGCAAAGAAGTCTTTGGGTTTGGCCCTTCCCAACTTCTGCAGGCACCACCAGAAACCCCCTCCATTTTGAGGCCAAGCAGGGAAAGCTGTGCCCAGCAACTCCTCAGATTAGCCAAGGAGGAAGACTCATTTCTGAAGCTGGGTTACATTTACTAGACCAGCTAGACAGCCAGGTAGCAGCAGTAGGAACAGTTTCCCCATCATGGGGACTAGTTGGGACATTGATGCTCAAAGCAGCTTAAACTCACATTTAAGAAACTTAGATTTGAAAGAGCAAGAAAGGAGAAGGAAGTTCCTTTACAGGGTATTTGCAGAGGCACCAGGACATGAGGAGATACCGGGGAGATTCCCACATCCCTCCTCCAGTAAGAGGAACTCATTGATAGACCAAGAGGAGGTCTGGGAACACACCAGTTCCCAGAACCTCCACGTGCATGGTGACTTCAGGGTATTTGCTCAGCCAACAATCTGTCACTAACAGAAAGCTGCATCCAACATCGAGGGGACTTATACAATGCATGAAGATGGCTCTGAAGCACCATCTTGGTTCAGCCAGAACCAGTGCAAGATGAACAAGTGATGACCATAACTACTACACCCTCAAGCTCTTTGTAGCAAGGAGTAGCATCAGAGAGTCATTTGACTTCGGAAATTATATTAGCCTTACTTGTTTCAAGTCAGAGAGCTAGAATCCATGCATGCAAGAGGTATCTAGGTCCACTCAAGCAGAGATTACAGAAGTCAAGAGATGCCTGGCACCAGTCCATGAAGTGCTACAGACATCCAGTATGTAACACAGGCTGCTCACCAGTGGCATTCCCGCCTGGTTTCTGGCAGCCCCGGCATGCAACAGCTAAGAAAGGCCAGGGATGACGTACTTGCTGCCGAGGAGGCTGTCTGGGAGCTGAGAGCCTTCTGCCTCCCCTAACAGCGTATTTTCTAACAATAATGGGCAACACTGCAGCCTTGCCGTGGACCACCAGGGAAGATGATCCTCTCCTAGCAGAGCTTAGCCAGGTACCTTCTCCGGGTCCTCATCCAGGCTCTGCCCACCCAGCACCACCTCATGTTTGACATTTTCCCCGTTCAGGGGTCCACGATGTCCAAGCTCTACCACGACGGCAGCAGCCACCACCCATGGAGCTGCAGTTTGGCCCATGAGACCAGCCACTGTCATTCAGAGGGAAGGGGCCAAGAGGACACATGGGACAACCACAGACTTCAGCCACCTGCATTGGGCATCTGGACAGCCTGCTCCACAGTACCCCTGCTCCCCATGGACCCACAGCTTTCCAGTGACCTCCTGGGAGAGCAAGGATGAACTGCTTCAGCAGACACCCAAGACAGCAGCGTGAACCCACGGCATCCTTATTAAGATATGACCACGAACGCAACACGCAGTGTCCACGGCAAGCAAGTAAGCTCCTCCAGCTGCCAGAAAAAGCTCTGCGTGCAACAGGGGTGTGCAGCACCTCGGCAGCTGTCTCACACCACCCCTTGGAGTGCTGGGACATACACTGTCACACAGATTGGCAGCTGCCTGGAAAACTAAACAGAAGATAGCAGCAAGTGGGGAGGGATCGAGTCCGGGGAGGTGTCTGGTGAGGAACAGCAGGGACTGACATTAGGCCCTGTTTGTTTAACATTCCCGTTAACGACCTCGAGAGGAGTGAGAAGCATTCCTGTCCTCCGCATGTCACCGGGCAGGAAGGGGCTGCGAGATCCAGGGGCTTGCAGATAAGATAAAGGGAAAGGCTGAATTTGGGAGCTTCGCCCCACCGTATCTGGGGCACCAGCACCCTTCTGCAAATGCTCGGGGAGGCGGCGAAGGAGGCTCATGGGGCGGGGAGGGATGGAAATGGAGGAGTGTCTGCAGCGCCAGGATCTGGCGGCATTATCCACGCAGTGTGGGAAGATATTCCAGCACACCCTCCTGCGTACGTTGGGACTGAAGGATTCAGCTCTGCCTTAAACTTGTTTATCACTCTGTATCAAGGGGAGCTCTGGGCAAGAATTTGGGTGGGATGTGGGATTAAACTCCCCAGACCATGCTGGGACCCTGAACACAAGGTCACTGCTGGTACCACCATTAGCTGCTTCTGCTGCAAGGAATGGCTCCTGGTCAGCCAGGAGGACGTGCGGGAAAATCAAGCGTTCAGAGGGCTCCCGCAGGCTCAGAGTGGCCACCATGGAAGTCGTTGGTCTTCTGCTGCACCCCTGGGTGCAGGGTGACAAACACACCCAGGGAGGCTGCAGACCATCTAGCAGGGTGGACTGGACCGTCCCCCTCCCTGCACACACCCACGGGCAGCATGACAAAGAGCAGGGGCCGCTTCTGTTCCACCCTCGCCCTGTTCTCCATGGATGCAATCTTTATCTCGGTTTTCCAGCCACCAAGCATCACTCAGGGGAGGACCGGCCTCCCCAAAGGACTAGGATTCCCAGGCTCCTGAGACGCAGTAGCTTCCAGCACCCACTTTGCCAAACCACCACCCAGCAGCAGAGAACAGGCCGGCTTGGGGCCGGCACCACGAGCTCGCCTGGCCATGACCAGCGAAGCACCAGCCCAGCCGAAGCAATGCTGCATCAACCTCGGGCAGCTGCGCAGGCCAGTGAATAATTGGATCAAGGAGCCGCATTGAGCCTTCTGCGCACGCGTGCACAGCCCACCAAACCCCCAGTACAGACCCTCCCCACACTGGGGAAGCGATACAGGGCCCCAGGTGCTCTGTCCCTCTACCCACCCACACCAGTGCCACCCAGGGAGGCTGGGACATACCACCAGCAGCATCACATCCACGTACCATCGCATCACCTAAGCCCCACTCTGTACAGGGGAGAGAAATGCTACAGCCACCGCCCACCAATCCATTCCACCCCATTACCCGGGTCCCCCCACGCCGGGGTTGAAGACCAGCAGGGACAACGGCCCCAAGACACCTGGTGCACGGGGACCATCCGGCCCTGGTGGGTGGCGGAGCAAGCCAGGCGCCATGTTGCAGTGGCGCAAACGCACGGCGCACTGGCGGAGGGTGAGGGGAGGGGGGCAGAGCACCTCCCCGGTCCCGAGGGCTGGGTGCAGAGGACTGCAAGAAAACGCAACTGAGGCCGGGTGTTTTCCAGCGTCGTCTCCAAGATGGAGGGTGGCTGGCGACCCACTGCGTCAACACCTGCTCGAGGGGCGCGATGAGAGAGGCGCTGCCCGAGCATCGATGCGACCAACAGCCAGAAGGGCAGACGTGAGCTTGGCCTCGGCATGTGGCTACAGCCGAGCAACCCTTGCAAGCCCTCCCAGCAGAGCCCAGCAGCATCCAGGCTCTGCAATGGCCACGCAGGGGATGGGGGCTGAAGGCAGGGCCCCTCACAGTCCCCCCAGCCCCAACAAGG